CTCCTTTTTTGAAGTCGGTTGAAAATTAAAACCAGAGTAAATCCTAGAGTAAATACATGGCTTTGGCTATTATGTTATAAAATGTAAATATAGATTGTATTGTTAAATTTAAATATATTATGCTATCGCATTAGTCTTTACTTGTAATGATAGTATCTCATCAAAAACAATACTTGTCAAAAAAGCCAAGTCTCGCAACTCAGTTTTTCTACGGCCATTGCATGAAAACACGTGTAAATTAAATTATTTAGTGCGATGGCCAAGTCAATAGATTTATGTAAAACGTTAAAGATTTCCTGGCCTGGACTTGGTATTACATGGATCTCACAACTTTTTACCGTAGAACAACTGAGTTGCGAGACTTGGTTTTTTTGGCAAGTATTGTTTTTGATGGGATCTCATTTCTTTTTGTATTTTGTAGACAGCAGTTATGTATCTAGAAAACTGGACCGAAATTTAAAAATTTTACTCGACTTGGCGGGGACACTACCGTGCGCCTTTATATTTATCTGGTATTACAAAGTTATTTAAGTAAGTAGTTAAAAATTTATAAAACTGGACCGAAATTGAAAAATTTTGCTAGACTTAGCGGTTGCACTACCGTGCCCCCAAATATACACACCGGCAGATTTAGCGGAACGCAAAAAAAAGAATGAAAATAAGGAAAATTACTATTGATCTATGAAATATTTATTATACAAAATAAAGAGATAATTAAAATAAAATAAAATAACATAGATTTTTTAAATATTTAGTCGTTTTTATTTAATAAAAAATCATCGAAACGAAATTTCAATTTTTCAGTTTTGAACAAAAATTAGAAATTGTGGCCAGATTAAAAATTAGGGTAGCTTATCACTAACCAAATGAATTAATTAATGATGGGTATTTCCCCCTCTTGCTCTGATGATGGTTTCCATTCATCTGAGCATGCTGCAGTTAATGTTATGAAGGGTATTTTGGGGCAATGTCTGCCATTCCTCTAGTAACGCGTTTCTCAACACCACCGGTGGTATTCTGAGTTTAACACATCTTTTAAGAAAGTCCAAGACATGCTCTATAGGATTCTTGTCTAGGGATCTTGCCAGCCACTGCATCATGGGTATATCCAAATGGTTTAGATGTGCCTGTACTGAGCGAGCACTGTGAAAACGAACATTATCGTGAATTAAACTAAAGGAGTCCACAATAAATGGAGTAAATGGCACATCATGTTCTTCTAAAATGTTCCTAGTGTACCATTCAGAAGTCGTATTTCCTCCATCACCCACCACTAACTCCGTGCGAGCTCCCAAACAAATCCTTCCCCACACCAGAATTAAGCTACCTCCATAAACCACGATATTTTCAAAATGAAGACTAAATGTTACGTTCTCTTTGTGTCTCCATATTCGCTATCTTCCATCGATCTGGTTTAAGAGAACTCTGCACTCATAAGTGAAGAGATCATGCCTCCAGTCGTTCAAGACCCAATCACGATATTCACGTGAAAAGTTCAATATGTTTTTTCGGTGCTGTGTCACAAGTTGGAGCTTTCTCGGGTATGCACGACCCTATACCAACTTCAGTAAATCTCCTGTGAACTGTGGGCTCAGTCACTCTTACTCCTCGAGTGTCTTTAAGGTTATTTCTGGCTTGAACAGCAGGTAACCGCGACTTTCTGAAAACTCGAAGTTGTAAAAAACGGTCATCCCGTCGCGAAGTACGCCTTTTTCTGACTTGAACCCTCCTCCTAACGACAGAAATGATCAATCTGTACCGTTGGTTACTGCCATGGGTGGTCGATACTGATCAACGACGTCTTACGGCAGCCGATTTGTATGCATGGCCGTTACTTCTCATTTCATCTGCCTTAATGATTTCTGACGGTGCTAAGCTGGGCATAATAAACCCTTATAAGTAACTGAATGCTTACACAACAAAATTCTCAGAAAAAAACATCTTTCACGTAAAAGAAATCCAAATTAGCAAAAGCTTCATTCAATTCAAAACACTCAACGAAACTGTTGATGGGGTAATTTAAACAAAATAATTAAAAAAATATACTGTTGGCAATTAGTTTTTTCATATTTAGAATTAAATTAAAAAATAATGTCATAATTAGGCATTTTTTTCCTAAAATAATGATGATATTGATGCTTTTTTTTCCGTTCCTCTAAATCTGCCGGTGTGTGTATTTTAGTTTTTCCTTGATTCATACACCAAACACTACTTATATTCCAAATTTGAAGCTTCTAGGTCTGCTAGTGCCTTAGAATTTTGATGATCGGTGAGTCAGTCAGTCAGTCAGTGAGTGACAAAATTAAGAAACTTTGACCCGTTATAATTCTTAAACTACTGGTTCAAATTGAATGAAATTTGAAATATACCGTGTCTTTACAATGCCTGCATGGATACTGAAAATTCAGTCTTCTAGTTTTATCCACAACGAAGTTACAGGGGGTCGAAAATGGCCTGAATTGCTTCGAGAAAAGGATGGTACGGCCGTGCCGCTGTTTGCTCGACTTGGTGGGGGCACTGCTGTGCCCCCAGATAAATGTGTGTCGAAATAATAAATAAATATTTTATGAGTTATAATTCAAATTCAATTTTTTTATTGCAATAATATGCAAGTGTTTACATGGATCTTAAACTTAACAATTTATTGAACTAATGATTAGGTATTAAATATAAATAAATAATTAAGTTTAATCTCATGATTAGGTATTTTATGAATGTAAATTAACTTGGAAGACTTAATTATTGCCATAAATCATGAATATTTTACAAGTAGGTACAAATTAAATACTGGTATGTTTTATGTTTATAGTTTACCTACTTAGAATTAAAATTAATAGTTATTTTGGTATACACTGTTAAATGCAATAAATGATTGAATAATACGTAATAAGGAAGGATAAACTTTCACATAAACTGATACGTTCGATTTGAAAGTAAGTACCTACGTACCACTTGTAGTCTGTTGTTGACAATATTGACCTTTGAGATAAGTGACGCATGTGACAATACTATCTAACGATAAGTGGTCAGCTTGAGATCATAGCGCGTGCCGAACTTATATTAATTACAAATTAAGTACCTGCTGATAATAGGGCTTATCAAAATGTTAACTCACTGAAAAACACCCGGTAGTCGGGAGCGTAAGGTGAACCTCTCTCCTCTGCGATGTACATCTTGGCTGTTGCGGTGGACGGTCGAGTGGCTGCTGTTGACACTGAATACCGAGCTCGCGATATGCCGTTCCGAGTACAAGTAACCTTGCACAGCTGCTTCAGCACCAACTTACAAGCCGGAACCGCTGCCGACGCTGCGCAACGTGCTAATGACATTTTATGCGTTTGACGTTGACAGTGTTGACACTGACATTACTGACAATTTACTTTTTAATAAAAGTCAACATTATGGTATGGAGATCATAATTATTAAATTATTAATTATGCAGAATGAGAACATGTTTTATTTTATTTTATCTTATTTATTAGGACAACCAACAAGACAAACACGCATGTATTATACATGGAATAACTATAACTAATGTAATGTTCATGAGGATTCAAATACTGTGGGTCTAGTCAAAACGCACTTTAAAATCGCAAACCCATCGCAAACCAGTCGCAAACAAATAAACAAATCGCAAAAGAGGTCGATAACAAAAAAGGCTTAGCCTAACGGCAAAAAATCGAATCGCAAAGCCCTACCTATCGATAATCGAAAGACTGGATTGAAATTTCCCATACAAAGGCTTAGCCAACATGCATTTAAGACTCAATCAAAACGAATCGAATCGCAATACCCGTCATTTTCATCTGGGGGCACGGCAGTGCCCCCGCCAAGTCGAGCGCGAAGCAAACACTGCCGTACCATCTTTACTGGAACCATTTCGCCGCATTTTCAGGCCTCTATTTGAGAACCTCTGGATAAGACCAGAACGCAGAAATTTTTGTCATCTAGTAAGCTATAATCACATACTTAAAATCCAAAATTTCAAGTTTGTAGGTCATTTAGTTACGAAGTTAAGCGAAAGCAAAGTTTCGCATTTACGACACTCACTCACTCACTCACTGATGATCATCAAAATAGAACTAGTACTTCCCATTAACTCAGAGAGCTGAAATTTGGTACAGAGTTAGGGTTTAATGACTACATAAAGGGAAAACTATAAAAACTAGGAAAATCGAAGATCTGGAGTAACACCACATTCATAATCAATACTACTAGCGCCACACCGGCACCGTGGTGTTCGCCTGTACCGCTCATCGTTAGATGGCGTGGCACTTGTTATTAAAACAATTTCTGATTCGTTGTCCATTTTAAAGGTCGTTGAGTTTATTTGTGTTTAATATCGTAAAAAAAATGTCGATGATATTAAAAGAAAAGACGCCGACGTTAAATAATTATGCCACTTTCTACAAAAAGAAGTGAAATCCCACCAAAAACATTCTGTAAAAAATTAGCCAAGTCTCGATGGAGCTGCCTGTTTATCTCTAAAAAGTAATGAAATCTAGACAAAGTCGTGCCAAGTCTATGGTTCCTTACTGCGATTTCTTTATTATTATATTTAATGTTGTGTGACTTGGCCGTTGAACAATCTTTATTAAGATAATCATACATAAGTATTATTGAAATACGCAGCTTTATTAAGCCTACAATTGACTGGTTATTGAATCAACGTTTTCCAAGTGCAATTTATTTTCCATCGTCAATGGGTAGCGATTTTGGCGACAAATTGGTACAATGGTGTCATGGAGCATCTGGTTTGGTACCCTTCAACGGCCAAGTCACACAACATTAAATAATAATAAAGAAATCGCAGTAAGGAACCATAGACTTGGCACGACTTTGTCTAGATTTCATTACTTTTTAGAGATAAACAGGCAGCTCCATCGAGACTTGGCAAATTTTTTATAGAATGTTTTTGGTGGGATTGCGATTACTAAAACCCCGGTAATAAGCTTCGATTCGATCGGAAACCAATAGGGTGAGTTGCACCACCTAACTTTGAACGTAACTATGACGTTAACCAGTGTTTTTTGTATGGAGTTTGACAGATTTTAGACGTTTGTCAAAGTTAAACTAAGATGGTGTGCAACCCACCCTAAGGCTGTTTTGACAAATCCGTATCGCGATGTCGTTTTGAAAGCTAGTTTGACAGCGAAGCATAGACGTAAACAGAGACTCTGCGGATCTAGTCAAAACACACTTTAAAATCGCAAACCAGTCGCAAACTAATAAATAAACGCAAAAGAGGTCGATAACAAAAAAGGCTTAGTCATTTGGCAAAAAATCGAATCGCAAAGCCCTATCTATCGATAATCGAAAGACTGGATTGAAATTTCCCATACAAAGGCTTAGCCAACATGCATTTAAGACTCAATCAAAATCGAATCGAATCGCAACACCCGCCATTTTCATTGCGATTACTAAAAACCCCGTGGGTCTAGTCAAAATGCCATTGCTAACCAATAGGAAGCTTTCGATAATGACAGTCGCCGTGTCACCAGTAATTCGATTCGATCGTAAAATGGCAGCCAAAATGCACATTGAACCACCATCGACGCGCCGCCGATACAAAAGTTCATTCAAAATCGAATAAAAGTTAAAACATGTCTATGACTGCGATTGTTTTTACTTTTTTTAGATTTTTTTTAAATTAGTTTCTTCCTTCTCTCTGTTTACGTCTATGCTTCGCTGTCAAACTAGCTGTCAAAACGACATCGCGAAACGAATTTGTCAAAACAGCCTTTTTTTTTTCTTTTTTTTTCGTCGGGAAATGCTTTGCGCATACCCACTGGTCTATGGGGACGGCCAGTGGGTTATGTGGGACTCTCCCCACCTACCCACTAAAGGCGGGGCCTACCCACTAAAACCCGACGGTTTCCACCAGAGCCCAAAGAAACGGAGCCGCGAGTTATTGNCTCATTTCTTTTTGTATTTTGTAGACAGCAGTTATGTATCTAGAAAACTGGACCGAAATTGAAAAATTTTACTCGACTTGGCGGTTGCACTACCGTGCCCCCAAATATTTTAGTTTTTCCTTGATTCATACACCAAACACTACTTATATTCCAAACTAGCTGACCCGGCGAACTTTGTTCCGCCTTAATGGCAATAAATAATCAGACTTATTTTTAATTTCGAACGGGATAAAAAGTATCCTATGTCCTTCTCCTGGCTCTAAACTACCTCCCTGACAATTTTCAGCTAAATCGGTTCAGCCGTTCTTGAGTTATAAGCGAAGTAACTAACACGACTTTCTTTTATATATATAGATTTGAAGCTTCTAGGTCTGCTAGAAGTGCCTTAGAGTTTTGATGATCGGTGAGTCAGTGAGTCAGTCAGTGAGTGACAAAATTAAGTAACTTTGACCCGTTATAATTCTTAAACTACTGGTTCAAATTGAATGAAATTTTAAATATACCGTGTCTTTACAATGCCTGCATAGCTAATGAAAATTCAGCCATCTAGTTTTATCCACAACGAAGTTACAGGCGGTCGAAAATGGCCTGAATTGCTTCGAGAAAAGGATGGTACGGCCGTGCCGCTTTTTTGCTCGACTTGGTGGGGGCACTGCCGTGCCCCCAGATATGAAAATAGATGAAACTAGACCTATTTTTATCGACAAAAAAGAGGTCAAAAAATTTTTGTGATTTTTTTTTAATTCTTTATAGATTTTTTTTTCTTCCAATTACTTACTTATTGTAAAGAAAACGTAATAACTTTTAAACTAAGCGATCCTAGCAAATGTTGTGATAGGGATAGAGACATGCGATTTTTGCTTTTACAAAGATAATATGATAGAGAATAATACAAAGTAATAAAAACCACCTGTTATAGGGGCATTTTTTAAAGAAATTTAACAAATAACCAAAAAAACACGAATTTAAAAGCAGATTTTTTTCAAAAAGTATCATTTTTTATTATTTGTGGGCCTTTTCTGTGTATTTTATGTATTTTTTTAGTATCGCCTGTTATTTAGCATTATTACTGTTTTTATTTTATCAGGATATACCGCATAGTTTAAAAGTTATTACGTTTTCTTTACAATAAGTAATTGGAAGAAAAAAAATTAAAAAAAAAATCTCAAAAATTTTTTGACCTCTTTTTTGTCGATAAAAATAGATCTAGTTTCATCTATTTTCAACCGACTTCAAAAAAGGAGGAGGTTCTCAATTCGACCCGTATTTTTTTTTTTTTTTCTATGTTTGTTACGCGATAACTCCGCCAATTATGAACCGATTTGAACAAATCTTTTTTCGGCGTATAGGTAATACCTCAAGGGTGGTCCCATTTAAATTTAATAATAAAAAAAACAACCCCCAAGGGTGGAAAATTGGGGATGAACTTTTTTATACGCAATATCTCCGCCGATTATAAACCAATTTGAACGATTATTTTTTTGTTGAATAGGTATTATCAAAAGGGTGGTTTCATGCGAATTTGAAGAAAATATTTCACCCCCAAGGGTGGAAAATTGGGGATGAACTTTTTTATACGCAATATCTCCGCCGATTATGAACCAATTTTTTTTAGTCTCAGTGTACTGCCTACCTTCAGTGGTAACATCAAGGTAATAATTAGTTAACTAAAAAGCAAGAAATAAGTAAAATTTTATAAAAAAAAAATAAAACCGACTCCAAAAAACCTACACTAAAACGTAGAAAAATAATTACTAATTACCTACTTATTTATTAGGACGAATTATTAATATTTATGTAGGTATACCATGATTGATACTTCTGGAGTCGGTGCCAAGATTATGAAACATGTAAAGTTTGCCTGCGTTTATCTATGCGTTTATCTGCGTTTGCCTATTTTTCTACGTTTTAGTGTAGGTTTTTTGGAGTCGGTTTTATTTTTTTTTATAAAATTTTCATATGTACACTTTAACGTGACTCACACTGTATAGTAGCCTATATAACCTTCCTCGATAAATGGGCTATCTAACACTGAAAGAATTTTTCAAATCGGACCGGTCGCGGTAGTTCCTGAGATTAGCGCGTTCAAGTTAACAAACAAACAAACTCTTAAGCTTTATAATATTTACTAGCTGTGCCCGCGACTTCGTACGCGTGAAAACCCGTTTTCGCAACATTTTCCATTTTTGCTCTGCACCTATTACTCGTAGCGTGATGGCATATAGCCTATAGCCTTCCTCAATAAATGGGCTATCTAACACTGCAAGAATTTTTCAAATCGGACTGGTAGTTCCTGAGAATAGCGCGTTCAAGTAAACAAACAAACAAACAAACTCTTCAGCTTTATAATATTAGTATAGATTATTATAACAGATATTTTTTTCGACTAGTTCTGTCTGTCCAGCAGTAAAAGAGGAGTAGGCTTTACAAAATGCCCATTTGACGCGGATTGAGGACTCTAATTGCCTTAATAAAATAACAATCAAAATATGTATCTGAATAATTAAAAACCCAGAACTCTATCAAATCTTAATTTATTTTTATAGCGAATTTATTTGAAATACTAATAACGTTATAGTGTTAATCGTTATTACTTATTTGAACAATTAATAATCATTTATTGGACCAGAACCGGAAGTCTACTAATCAGTTGCAGTTGTGCCAATAAAAAAATGCAGATAAAAAACAAACGGGCATCAACCAATCAAATAGTCGCATTTGGCTTCCCCGCGCTTCCATCCCAAACTTGGTTGACGCCCATTCCGTATCCGTTTTCAAAAAGGATCCCCCACCTTAATAATCTTTGCTCATAGTGATGTAGGCAACATCGATTATATAGAAAGAAAGAAAAATAATCGAATTCATTTATTTAATTATTCATTGCAGCATGTAGTACATACATAATATTTTTTTATAGATGTTATGTTTTTATTTAATACATAAATAAATTATTGTAATATATTAAATGCAAAAGTTTATTACTATTTATTTATTATAAAACAAGTTACATATTATGTGAGTTTTGTATAATGTTTCAATTGAAAGCTGTCAAGAAGAAGGCTTTTATACGTAGTTTATTTTTCTATTCTTTTCTATAGTTTGTTCTTTCTGTTGCTTGTCATCTTGTCAATTCAAATAAATGTCGTAAAGCTAACGCTGTGTTTTAATTAAAGCGTAAAATCTTGTAAAACTTGTAATGTTTTTAAAGATCAAGCAAGACCTTAAAATTAAATACATAACATAAAGAGCTAACACATATTTTTTATATTTTATACAATTGTAATTATTTATTAAATTGAAATGGCATAATATATTTTTTTTATAAAAAATCCTAATACTTAATTAAAAATGGAGAGTAACACAAAGAGTGCAATTTCGACTATCGATCTTTGTATAAAATTTCCCGCGAGGACACGTCACTATTTCTCTTACTTCCGTTTCCGATTTTGATAGATATTTGATAGCGTCATTCATTCATCATTCATTCATGATGTACTTCCTTTTTTATTTTGTTGACGCCATCTTTATTTACTTCTGCTGCAATGGCCGGCCGGCGTCTTCTGCCATTTTGTTTTTAGGGCTTTTAATATTGTTAATTTGCAATCAAACTGTGTCAAAAACCGTCAGAAGTGTACATTAAATTAGGTCAAAACGTGAAAATATAACTACTAACTTGGGAGCCTGTTGTGACCCCTCAATACAGTAACCCGAAGACTGCCTACGAAATGTGCTTGAAAATCTCGTAAGTTTCAGTTCATTTTAATTACTATAGTACACATAGATTTAACAATATTAAATACGAACTATTTTCTCTACAGGCTCAAGTATTATTATGTTTTATGATAAAATTTCCTATTTCTATTGGATGGCGGCCATATTGCCGGCGCTATTCTCTATTTCATTTTCAAGTTTTAAACAACAAACCTAGTACATAGTTATGTTTGTGAAACCTACGAAGTTGTTTTGTTAAAGTAAATAATCCGATCGTCTATGTGATTTCAGGTCCTGTGGGGTCAACACTAGGTGATCCAAGTCTGGCTTCGTTGGTTCGCCATTTTGAAAATGTTCTCAGCGTCGCGTCGCGTCGGCATGGCAAGATTGAAAAGGTACCTACCTACATTTAATTACTTACATAATGAGCTAATTAGTCAGACGCCAGTCCTACCTACTAGTGGTTACAGCAGAGGCGGCGTAAGGCGTAGGCGACGTGGGCCACCGCCTACGGGCCCTACGGCCTCGCGGTACAAGGGGCCTCGCGCATCAAAAATTTTGAAAAAATGTATACAAGGTGGAGATGACAATATCACAATACGAACATTGACTATTAAATATAAATTCTTGATAGCTAAACAATGTAGTTAAAAATAAAAATATTTTTTTTTTCCAAACAAATTCAGCCATAATCAGACACAAAATTAAGCAACAACACGGTTTTAAGTGACAAACATTATTCTTTGGCGCAATATTCCTTTAAAAATAATCACTGAATCAAGAAATCAGAAACTGTCAATGTATAGACCTTTGACCCTTTTTTTTTATCTATATATATAAAAGAAAGTCGTGTTAGTTACTCCACTTATAACTCAAGAACGGCTGAACCGATTTAGCTGAAAATTGTCTGGGAGGTAGTTTAGAGCCAGGAGAAGGACATAGGATACTTTTTATCCCGTTCGAAATAAAAAAAGTCTGCTTATTTATTGCCATTAAGGCGGAAGAAAGTTCGCCGGGTCAGCTAGTTATTTCATAAAATCCGTCTTCAGGTCGCCACGCCACAGAACAAGGCCTCGCGAAATCTGTCTTGCCCACATCAAATTTTGGTCTTGCCCCGCCTCTGGGTTACAGAATATGTAAATGTATTTCAATATACGTAGATTACTGTAAAAACTTATTCGTATTTGTAGTGCGTCAATGGGCCATGCTTACAAGAGTTGCAAGTGGGTAGGTAGACTAACGATGTTCCTTTGAAATGTATCGTAAGTTCAGAGGAATACATCAAATCACTTCACCATCTCTTGAGTAAAGTTCCTATTAGTTACTTCCTGATTACCTATTTGTACCTAAAGGGGCAGGCCAGCTAAATACCCAACTGTTGATTTATGCTATATAGATCATTCATCGTAGGATGGTTTACTAAACTACTACACTAAACAAATTACTAACTTTAAAAAAAAAATAGAAAAAAAATCTACATTATCTTAAATTTCTAATTAATTTTTGCCTAGGTACTTTTATCTTATATGTCTTAAACCAACTGCCTATATGGTAAATGTGTGGAACAGAGTGGAACTTGTCCATGAACAGTTTGCTTCAACTTCCGGCCTGATAATCACTCCGTCATGAGAAACAGGCCAAGATAAGATAAGAGCTTAGCTTCCTAGTTGTGCAAAATTTCCTGTGGATTAGATTGATTAATATTTCTAGTCTTTAAAGTGAAAGTATTCCAATTTCCAAGGTATTGTTGTGAATACAGTGTGGATAAGCTCTGCTCAGCTTTTGCCTATCTTAGTATCTTTCATTGAGCTTCTTTTCCATTGACTGAAATTAAAGCTTTGCTAATTTGACTTGCTTTCTTGGTTCTTGATGCTTGTTAATTCAAGAACTCTTCAAAACTACATATATTATTGTTTGCAATCAACTGGACTTGAAAGATCTGGACTTAGTTAAAAACTTGAACATTTTATGATGCACTATCTATTCTTGAACTAAGCAAAGCCTGGGTACCAGATGATGAAAATTCTGTTTTTTTTTTACATCTAATGATAGAGCTGAATTACAGTCCAGTTAATTAGTTTAGTTTGCTTCTTTACTAATACTCTGACCAATGCCTGCCAATTTATTTACTACTTTAGCACTTCAATGAAATATTGCTGTTTTTACATTCACAGGCGAAAGGGTTCTCGTCCTTACCGCCTCAATGCGTCGTAGTCGATACGGTCGACTTTCAACTGACAGCAGCCACGAGAAAAAACGCAGGTAGGCATTTTTTTTCCCGACTGTGCCAGAAGGGGGGTTATATAAGTTATTAAGTTTATGTGGTTCTTATCTCTTAGCCACGCCTCCTGTCCCTAGTCCCTACTCTGCCCCACCTAAAATGTTTTGAGTATCTAACAAATTGGCTATTGAGTAAAAACAAATTGAGCTACTGGTCTTTCATAATTTCGCCCAATTATTTCCTTCACCCTTTATCGCTCATATCATTTCCGAATACTAATCTCCACTGCAACATGTTTCGTCGTCTTCGGCTCATGAGACGTGAGCTCGCCGCGCCGCTGCAAGCACCGGTCGACCTACGCGAGAGCTGCGAGCTCCGAGCCTGAGCTACGAACTTCGGGCCTGAGCTGCGAGCTTCGCGCCTGAGCTCAGAGCCTGAGCGTCGCCTGCTTAAAACTGCAGAAAACTATGGAAGGTAATTTGTTTATTCATGATAATCTATACTTATAATAAATCTGTAGAGAGGTCAATTCTGTACATGAAATATATTTTCAAAATAACTATCAGGGGATTAGTGATCGATACTGATGCCAAAAATGCAATCAGTAAAATTTTTGTCTGTCTGTTCCTTATAGAAACAAAAACTACTCGACGGATTTTAACGAAACTTGGTACAATTATTCTTCATACTCCTGGGCAGGTTATAGTATACTTCGGAATTCCCACGGGAACGGGAATTAGCGGGAAAATCCTTTTGTATGATAAATCTAAACCGCTTAAGTTAGACGCTTGAAATTTGGCATGCAGGTACCTTAGTAAACTTAAAGCTTAGTTACAACAGGATATTGCAAAATTCCCACGGGAACGGGAGTAGGCGGGAAAAAACATTTGTATGAAAAAATCTAAACCGCGTAAGATAGATGAAGGGGGTAAAACGGGATCCACGCGTACGAAGTCGTGGGCGGCCGCTTGTAATAATAATAAAAGTTTTTTTTACATTATATTAGGTTGTACTTACATTTATTTACATCATTATCAACTTTAGTAAACAGTTATTTTATGTAATTTTGTATTAATTGAGTAATATTGGTGTAATTGTTGACTCACCCAAGATGATAGTAGACATTCCAGTTAAGTTTGATCATTAGTTTAATTTTCTCGTTAACCATAGTTAGTTAGTCTAGTATCAGTTCTACTTACAGTCTCATAGATACACTCACAACTTTCCACTCCCTTGTATTGCGCTATCATTGCCGTATACTAATCTCCACTGCAACATGTTTCGTCGTCGTCGGCTCATGAGACGTGAGCTCGCCGCGCCGCCGCGAGCACCGGGCTGAGTCGACCTACGCGAGAGCTGCGAGCTCCGAGCCTGAGCTGCGAGCTTCATGACTGAGCTGCGAGCTCCGAGCCTGAGCGTCCACCCGCTCAAGCTTCAGACAACTACACAAGGCAAGTTTATCCTATTTCCTAACCTATTCTTCTACTAATATTATAACTGCAAAATTTTGTGAGGATTGATGGATGATTGTTACACACAAAAACTAGTGATTGCTTGTTACTTTATTCCTTTGTCAGGCTCATTTCAGACAAAATTAGATTATTATTCGTCGGTCTTTATTAGTTCATTTCAAATAATAAATTCTCTTTTAAATTTGATCATAAACCTCTTGCACTTTTCAAATTTCTAGTGAAACTATTGTCCTTACCGATCAATTAGTTTCCCCTACTTTGTCCCAGTCATTTAGTTCATTCGTAGGTATCATTTCCGTATACTAATCCCCACTGCTGCATGTTTCGTCGTCGTGGGCTGGGCGCAGGGAGCCGTGGAAGCGATGCGGCGACGATGGCATCTGCGTCGAAAGATAACGAGGTTAGTATGATTTATTTTGCTTTCATCTAAAGTTCTGTGGATTTGCTGACACAAACTTCAATTTGTAATCCCCTAATCTGTTTAGAAAAAATATTTATCTTCATCTCAGCAACAGGACGTCCACCGCTGAACATAGGCCTCCCCCAATGCTTTCCATGTTGCCCGGTTAGTAGCGGCCTGCGTCCAGCGCCTTCCTGCTACCTTTACGTATCGGTCCACCTTGTGGGTGGACGTCCCACGCTGCGTTTTCCGGTACGCGGCCTCCACTCATGACTTAAAGCTGCCCCATAAAGGACCAGAAAGGATATTTTCATTTAAATACTTGCACTTTAGTAATGATTAAATTGAGGAAGAAATTCAGCTTCAACTTTCAATGCAAGTTAGAGTCCCATAATTATGTAGGCTTTTATTTTAGTATTTCGTTTAGTGAAATAGTAACTATCCCTGTATGAATCCTTAATAAATAAATAACCGTGTGTTTTGTTTGCAGTCAGCCTTCAAGTCGGCGCCGCACCGCGGTGTCTCCTGCCTGCACTAGCCATTGATTTGGTAAGTGGCATTTATACACATACTTACTTTACTACATAGTGCTCATTATTATGCAACCAATATCAACTGAATAAGCAAAATTACATATATTACTCACTAGCGGCCGCCCGCGACTTCGTTCGCGTGGATCCCGTTTTACCCCCTTCATCTATCTTACGCGGTTTAGATTTTTTCTTTCAAATGTCTTTTCCCGCTAACTCCCGTTCCCGTGGGAATTTTGCAATCCTGTTGTAACTAAGCTTTAAGTTTACTAAGGTACCTGCATGCCAAATTTCAAGCGTCTAACTTAAGCGGTTTAGATTTTTCATACAAAATGATTTTCCCGCTGATTCCCGTTCCCGTGGGAATTCCTAAGTATACTATAACCTGCCCAGGAGTACGAAGAATAATTGTACCAAGTTTCGTTAAAATCCGTCGAGTAGTTTTTGTTTCTATAAGGAACATACAGACGGACAGACAGACAAAAAATTTACTGATTGCTTTTTTGGCATCAGTATCGATCACTAATCACCCCCCGATAGTTATTTTGAAAATATATTTCATGTACAGAATTGACCTCTCTACAGATTCATTATAAGTATAGAAAACGGTATTTATTTACAATAAACAGAATTATAAAATTTGTAGCCATTCATATTATCATTCCTTCCAACACTTGTCCTTTTAATCTTCCACAATTTCCTCACCTTATGTTGTTTGTTAGTGTATCCCCAAATCCCTCTCCTATATTATGTATTTATGAATATTGTGACTCAAATGTTGTTATTAATTTCAGGTATTATATTCAGGTCATGCCCCAGCTATATTCTTACATTTGATGCCAATGATTTTATTTATTTATCAATAAATATAACATTATACCTAATATAATTATAATAATTTATTAATGTGTATCTATTTATTATGACTTAACCCAAATGAGAAGCTTTTATGAATGTCAAATGTAATTTGCATTCGCGATGGTGTTTTCTGCCTGCACGACAAACACGTCTTTGGTAGAGTGAAAGGTTAGGTATAAAACTTAAATTAAGGTAAACCCTCTTATTAACTTGTATACTCTTTGAAATAAACTAAACCTACTCCTGGAAAAAGCGCATAGCAATGACGCTGCCAGTCTACATTTAATCTGATATATCCAAAAGTTTAATCACAGTTATCTACTTTTCCTTAATAATATTTTATCCATTTGTATTCATTTAGAGATCTCACTGAAGCACTAACACTACAACTGTTCAGTTCTAGTTAGTATTTAGGTTAGTTATTATGTAGAAGTGTACATGACAACAACTCTACTAGAAAGTAATGCACATGGATGTTAAACTCATCCTATGAAGTTTAGTTTAGATATATTTTTATTACCCTTTATTATATTGCTAAATATTCACTGAACTCATGTATGATTCAGAATTTACTTAAGTTCAATCATCCTTTATTTATTTTCCTTTCTTATTAGTAAGATTAAGCAATATGTAGAACCTACACAATATGTTCTCTTCTTTTCAAAGTGCAGCTGTCTTCATTACTCTACCTACATATGCTTTTAAACCCAATATTTTATCGTCATCACTCCACTGAAATCGGTATACTTTCCCCAATCAACTGCCTGCCAGCTTGCATACCAATGTCGTCGCAGCATACCCCAAAGCCATCAATTCCTCGGCAGATTTGACCAGCCCAGTGATCATAAGTATGGTAGGTACAATTTACTTTCTAATTTGTGAACATATTATTCTGATAGCTGAAGCTTTTAACTAGCTCTTGATCAACCATCTCGCAAACAAAAATGATGCAGATGCGATCACGTCACCTCTGTTCCTTTTAGAAAAGTTATTTAGACTTATAGTATGCTTCCCTCTTGCCTTCAGGCTGCTAGATATTATAACATTTCATGAATTACAAAATAAATACTTAGTAAATAGGGTTTCAACGCCTGAAGGAACGATTACAAATGATTTTACTTCAAATGCATACGGGTTATGCATAATCTGTACAGGCGTTAGTCTCGCTTGAAGCACACTGTAAAAACTGTATTTTTCGTCATCAGACTACACTTGTAGGTGATAATAACATGGTATTCTATGTACGATAGTCATAGTGGTATATTACAGCAAATTCCAATACATTACATCATTCACGTGGAGTTAGAAAAGGTTGAAGTCATTATTCTGTAGCTTATATTAAGAAGCTCATTGTCCTTTGTCCCACCCACATTCCTCCTATGATCTACTCTCTACAGATGAAACAGTACACTCCTCACTTTCTTACACACATATTCACACTCAGTAACACTGCACGGTCTGCCCACCGGCGGACTACAAATGGCCGCGGCGCCGCGCGGAGTGGAAAGCTCTCGAGCCTCCTGCGTGCGCCGGCCATGACTCATGCGGCGCGGGAGCACTGCCCCGCCGCGCCTCGAGCAGGCGCTCTGGTCCACGTGGAGCCCTACGCAGTCCTAAGTCTGTGGTCTCAAAGGCTAGTCCGGGCTCCTGTAGTCTGAACTGTAGGGCTCCCGCCTTAGTGGATCGGGCGCTGTAGACTACACACGAACTCAATACGATCGGCATACATGCACGTCTTTCTTTTCCCCATTTATTAGGACCACCCCTCCTATGATCCCTCTTGCGAAGACCGCCCTCTGTTGTGTTTTTGTGATTGATCTCTCAGAGAGCAAGCGTCTTATTTTTTTGTTTCCCCTCCTCTCCCCCTCTGATACTGATAGAGCTACATTCGTGATAGATATAAATACTAGTAAATACAGTCTCAATATTGTAATTTGCTTTAATACAAAGTTTCTTGTACTTAGGATAGGCATAGTAGCTCCATGCTAGTTAACAGTCGCACTAAATTATCCGGTGCTTGCCTTCCTTACTGTGGTCTATAAATTTTATTTTATTAAACACATGACAAATTACAATTTTCAAAAATATTTAAAACTAGCTTTCCGCCCGCGGCTTCGCCCGCGTGGAATTTTGTCTGTCACAGAAAATCTATCGCGCGCGTCCCTGTTTCAAAAACCGGGATAAAAACTATCCTATGTTCTTTCCCGGGACTCAAACTATCCTATGTTCTTTCCCGGGACTCAAACTATCTCTATGCCAAATTTCATCAAAATCGGTTGCGAGGTTTAAGCGGGAAAGCGTAACAGACAGACAGACAGAGTTACTTTCGCATTTATAATATTAGTTGGGATGAAAGGTTTTAGCTTATCCGTTTAATAGAGATACAGTATTTCTTGTCTAATAATGCTCAGAATCGTATTTACTTTCTGCTTTATAAATTTCAAGTAATAAATAAAGGCTAGAACATAGTGTCCTGTCCTTTGGCTCTTTAGGCTCTGCTATAATATCTACATTATGGCTGGGTTGCACGATCTTATTTCAACTTTCACAAACATGAAAAATCTTACTAGAACCTTTTCTTCGCCAAATCAGACAAAAGATTTAAAATCAAACTAATAGATTTTATTATTTTGTGGGTCGTGTGGTGTAGTGGTTCGGAACGGACTACTATGCCGAGAGGTCTCGGGTTCGATTCCCATTTCTGTGATAGGTCTGGGTGTTACTATGTAGGTATGTATTTACAAAAAAAAGTATTTAAGTATGTGTATATCCGTAGGCTAGTACCCAAAGTACAAGCTTTGGGACTAGAAGCGTAGTGTAAAATGGCCAAAGATAATAATATTATTTATTANATCATATATTAATATAATTTGGCATAATGAGTTTGGAATGTTTCGTGCATAATTATTACTTTTCCATGATGCCTATAACATAATGTTTTGATTTAAAGTGAAAAATAGGTTAAGGTGCGGCGGGGGTGGGCCCTTGGGCCACCCCTAAGCCGCCTATTTTGTTTTATACACACATAAATGACCTCATATTAATCACATTTACCAAATCATGCGGTAATTATTCATAATAACCGGCGATTATTCATAATTTTCACATTTATCACTTTGACCGTAACAAATATATTATTATTCTGATTCTGAAGCTACTGTGTAGCTCTTGATCAACCATCTCCCAAACAGAAATGATGCAGATGCGATCACGTCACCTCTGTTCCTTTTAGAAAAGTTATTTAGGCGTAAAGTATGCTTCCCTCTTGCCTTCAGACTGCTAGATATTATTACATTTCATGAATTACAAACAAATAATGAATAGGGTTTCAACGCCTGAAGGAACGATTACAAATGATTTTACTTCAAATGCATACAGGTCATGCAAAATCTGCACAGGCGTTGTTAGTCTTGCTTGAGCACACTGTAATAAGTGTTTTTTTCGTCACTAGACTTCACTTACAGGTGATGACAACATGGTATTCTATGTATGATAGTCATAGTGGCATATTACAGCAAATTCCAATACATTACATCATTCACGTGGAGTTAGAAAAGGTTGAAGTTATTATTCTGTAGCTTATATTCAGAAGCTCATTGTCCTTTGTCCCACCCACATTCCTCCTATGATCTACTCTCTACAGAAGAAACAGTACACTCCTCACTTTCTTACACACATATTCACACTCAGTAACACTGCACGGTCTACCCACCGGCGGACTACAAATGGCCGCGGCGCCGCGCGGAGTGGAAAGCTCTCGAGCCTCCTGCGTGCGCGTCCGTCCATCACTCATGCGGCGCGGGAGCACTGCCCCGCCGCGCCTCGAGCAGGCGCTCTGCTCCACGTGGAGCCCTACGGCCCTAGCGGCCGCAGTCCCATGTCTGTGGCCTCAAAGGCCAGTCCGGGCTCCAGTAGTCTGGACTGTAGGGCTCCCGCCTTAGTGGATCGGGCGCTGTAGACTACACACGAACTCAAAACGATCGGCATACATGCACGTCTTTCTTTTCCCCATTTATTAGAACCACATTTTCTAGGAGCCCTCATTGCGAAGACCGCCCTCTGTTGAGTGTTTTTGTGATGGATCTCAAAGAGAGCAAGCGTCTTATTTTTTTGTTTCCCCTCCTCTCCCCCTCTGATACTGATAGAGCTACATTCGTGATAGATAAATACTAGTAAATACAGTCTCAATATTGTAATTTGCTGTAATACAAAGTTTCTTGTACTTCGGATAGGCATAGTAGCTCCATGCTAGTTAACAGTCGCACTAAATTATCCGGTGCTTGCCTTCCTTACCGTGGTCTATAAATTTTATTTTATAAAACACATGACAAATTACAATTTTCAAAAATATTTAAAATGAAAGGTTTTAGCTTATACGTTTAATAGGTAGGGTATAGGCAAGCCCTTTTTATATTGCACCAAAAACTTAATAAATACGATACCATAGCGAGCAAGATTTGACTTTCATAAAAGCTTTTTGTAGGTTATGTTATGAGGCTATAATTTTCTGATAATAAAAGTAACTTCAACTATTTATAACATGGGATTTCTTGTTCGAATTATTGGTTAGTTTTATTTTGTTTTTTTTTTTCGTTACCAATGGCTAGATCAACGATATTTGACTAGTTGTTTGTTTAGCGTTTTGTCGAGACGAGCAGTACGACGAGAGAAAAGGATTGCACTCAACAATGAAGACATTTGCCGTCTCACTGTACGACACCTCAATCAACAAATATCATATGGATGGATAAAAAACTAGATTACAGTCCATATTGTCAGAAAATGTGATATCTGTAAGGAAACGACATGATTATTACATAAATCAAGGCAAAAACAATAAATGGCTTAGCAGCTGGATCATTGTAGAGAATCACAGCCATAAAAAATACCACATTCAATTCTGGAATTTGGAAATGTTCATGGTATTTTTATCAACAAACTTCATGGGATTCGTCAATTGGTGGCATGAGACTACATTCGGCAGCTCCAGATCACATAACTATGGCACCAAACTTGACTAACTTCGTGGGTTTCTTCGTGGCATCTACTTGGGAGTGTAGAAGTCTTGGCAGCACAGTAGCAGCGTGGTATCCAGTTAGCAGAACAGCTGCATAGCATCACTCACAGTCAACACACTGATCAATGTGGCATTACAGCTTTCAGACTGGCAACGTGGCATCACAGCCTTCAGACTGGCAACGTGGCATCACAGCCTTCATACTAGCAAGGTGGTATCACATTCAGCAGAGCAAAGGGACCAAGGGCGTGGAATAAAATTTAATGGAGACGCCGTGAAATGATATACAACCACTTAAAGTATGGAAAAAACTAGGAATAAAACCCGTGATACTATAGCTTTGGCGGATTATCATTCAACGATTACAGGATCAGAGAAACATTTGACGACGCAGCTCACATGAAACGAATACATCGTAAAATGACGGACAACGAGCACCATGTAATTACTACAGATAAGCAGTCAATGGAATCCGTGCAATGACATAGCCAACCAACAGCATTCGTTAAGCTTCGCGTCGGTTGATACAACTAGCGTATGAGTCAACCGACGCAAAAAACCAAGACAAGACACTTGCAGCAAAAAACTAAGATTAGCAATTTGATTCCTTCACATCCCCTTTGCGAATATTTAGGTTGGGAGCGCTGTTACAAGTATATAACAGTGTTCATCCCTGCCCATAAACTTTTTTTTGGTGCTATAGGGACTAGTGCGAGCTCCGCGTGCCATTATGTAGCGCGACGGCGCCATATTAGGGGCGTGGCCGTAAGCCACACCCACTATTATAATAAAGTCTACTGAGACCGTTGTATTTTTTTAACCCGACTGCACCAGAAGGAGGGTTATGCTCTTTCCCTTTAGGTCATAATGTAAGAAATATTATTGTTAGAGTATATTCCGTCTGTCCCACCGAGTCCTTTGTTCGTGCCTGTAAAAGAAACCTCGAACATCGAACGGCATTCTATTATGTATATTACAATGCATTTTATTCATTCAAACCGCTTATAAGTATGTAATCTATGATCATTGGCATCTATGCACACATAGCTGTGGGCTCGGCGTGGGTGGCGTGGCGTGTGATGCGTAAGTTGAAAACATTTTTTGTTTACATACATAGTTTAGTTTTTATTTACGTATCATACTTTTTGAAAACTGTTTTCAAAGTGGCTGCAGCATACTATTTATTAAACAAGTATGTAAGTACTCTTTTTAGTTAGCTTCGCATTCTTGAGTAATTTAAAGTTTTTTTTTACCAATCTTGTATTTTATGTTGTTAGCTAGCTAGAGTAAACTTGACTGTCCTTTAAAATAGTATAGTAAAAAGCTAAATGGTCGGAGCAGGTAGATTTTATGACTTTGAATAGAAACCGTTCATAATGATAAATTCACTCATTTTACTGACCCTAGACAATGTATTTGACATCAAATCCGTTGTTTTCATATGGCTATTTTTCTCGTGTTATGGATTTTAATAGAATTTTAACTGCTTGTTGTAATAACACTTCAGCTGGCTCCGGCTCGGGCTCCGGCTCGCGTGGCCGTGGAGCTGACGGCGGAGCAGAGCGTCGTTGGCGTGGCGTGGCAGAGCATCGTTGGCGTGGCGT